TAGCAATTTAACTGAAACAAAGTCGCTAATTTCATACCAATCCCCCTCTTTTCAATTTTTTTATTTTTTTTATTTCTCTTACCATAACTACAAACTATCATATTCATGTTCTTCAAAATATATTTTCTGTGACATCCCACATTGCCCAGGGGAGTGATCCTTAAATGTATATTCCCATCCTTACTTAGCACGAGGCCTTTTGGGAGCTCACTGGCTTCGAGTTCCATAGGAACTCCGAAGTTAAGCGAGTAGCGCGCGAGAGCACTTCCAGGATGGGTGACCCATCGGGAAGTTCTCGTGTGAGTTCCCAGAAACAAAACCGTGAGAGCATGGTCGGGGCCCAAAGCGGACAATATCATGCTATGGTGGTGAAGCGGGCCCGGGAAGTGGTCCACCCGGGCGGGATGTGACAATTTGGTATCAAAGCCTAACCCTGGCCGTGGTGTGCCGACGAGGACGTCGGGCCCCTAAGGGGGGTGGATTGTGACATCTCACATCGCCCAGGGGAGTGATCCTTATATGTATATCCCATCCCTACCTAGCACGAGGCCTTTTGGGAGCTCACTGGCTTCGAGTTCCATGGGAACTCCGAAGTTAAGCGAGTAGCGCGCGAGAGCATTCCCAGGATGGGTGACCCATCGGGAAGTTCTCGTGTGAGTTCCCAAAAACAAAACCGTGAGGGCGTGGTCGGGGCCCAAAGCGGACAATATCGTGCTAAGGTGGTGGAGCGGGCCCGGGAAGTGGTCTCGCCCGGGCCGGATGTGACAATTTGGTATCAAAGCCTAACCCTGGTCGCGTGTGTGCCGACGAGGACGTCGGGCCCCTAAGGGGGGTGGATTGTGACATCCCACATTGCCCAGGGGAGTGATCCTTAAATGTATATTCCCATCCTTACTTAGCACGAGGCCTTTTGGGAGCTCACTGGCTTCGAGTTCCATAGGAACTCCGAAGTTAAGCGAGTAGCGTGCGAGAGCACTCCCAGGATGGGTGACCCATCGGGAAGTTCTCGTGTGAGTTCCCAGAAACAAAACCGTGAGGGCATGGTCGGGGCCCAAAGCGGACAATATCGTGCTATGGTGGTGGAGCGGGCCCGGGAAGTGGTCCACCCCCGGCCGGGATGTGACATTTTCCGATGCTAAATCTATTATAATTAATATTTAAACAATTGAAATGAATGATTTAAAACCTAAATTTAAAGATATTCTCATATTTTCAACTTAAAAAATCAATAAAAAATAGTTTTCGAAAAAAAATTCAATGAAAAAAAAAAAGAAAAAAAGAAGGGGTAAAAAAGTTACGATCGGTACTTTTCTTCCTATTGTCCTTGAAGGAAGTTGCTAGGAAGATAGCGATCATGTAGACGTACGATCGCTAGCTAACTAGCAATTTAACAGAAACATAGTCGCTAATGTCATACCGATCTCACTCTTTTCAATTTTTTTATTTTTTTTATTTCTCTTACCATAACTACAAACTATCATATTCATGTTCTTCAAAATATATTTTCCCATGCTAAATCTATTATAATTAATATTCAAACAATTGAAATGAATGATTTAAAACCTAAATTTAAAGATATTCTCATATTTTCAACTTTAAAAATCAATAAAAAATAGTTTTAGGAAAAAAAATTCAATGGAAAAAGAAAAAGAAAAAAAGGAGGGGTAAAAATGTTACGATCGGTACTTTTCTTCCTATTTTCCTTGAAGGGAGTTGCTAATAAGCTAGCGATCATATAGACGTACGATCGCTAGCTAACTAGCAATTTAACTGAAACAAAGTCGCTAATTTCATACGGATCCCCCTCTTTTCAATTTTTTTATTTTTTTTATTTCTCTTACCATAACTACAACAATCATATTCATGTTCTTCAAAATATATTTTCCCATGCTAAATCTATTATAATTAATATTTAAAGAATTGAAATGAATGATTTAAAACCTAAATTTAAAGATATTCTCATATTTTCAACTTTAAAAATCAATAAAAAATAGTTTTAGGAAAAAAAATTCAATAGAAAAAGAAAAAGAAAAAAATGAGGGGTAAAAATGTTACGATGGGTACTTTTCTTCCTATTGTCCTTGAAGGGAGTTGCTAATAAGCTAGCGATCATATACAAGTAAAAACCGCTAGGTAACTAGCAATTTAACTGAAACAAAGTCGCTAATTTCATACCGATCTCCCTCTTTTCAATTTTTTTATTTTTTTTGTTTCTCTTACCATAACTACAAACTATCCTATTCATGTTCTTCAAAATATATTTTCCCATGCTAAATCTATTATAATTAATATTTAAAAAATTGAAATGAATGATTTAAAACCTAAATTTAAAGATATTCTCATATTTTCAACTTTAAAAATCAATAAAAAATAGTTTTAGGAAAAAAAATTCAATGGAAAAAGAAAAAGAAAAAAAGGAGGGGTAAAAATGTTACGATCGGTACTTTTCTTCCTATTGTCCTTGAAGGGAGTTGCTAATAAGCTAGCGATCATATAGAAGTACGATCGCTAGCTAACTAGCAATTTAACTGAAACAAAGTCGCTAATTTCATACCAATGCCCCTCTTTTCAATTTTTTTATTTTTTTTATTTCTTTTACCATAACTACAAATTATCGTATTCATGTTCTTCAAAATATATTTTCCCATGCTAAATCTATTATAATTAATATTTAAAGAATTGAAATGAATGATTTAAAACCTAAATTTAAAGATATTCTCATATTTTCAACTTTAAAAATTAATAAAAAATAGTTTTAGGAAAAAAAATTCAATGGAAAAAGAAAAAGAAAAAAAAGGAGGGGTAAAAATGTTACGATCGGTACTTTTCTTCCTATTGTCCTTGAAGGGAGTTGCTAGGAAGATAGCGATCATGTAGATGTACGATCGCTAGGTAACTAGCAATTTAACTGAAACAAAGTCGCTAATTTCATACCGATCTCCCTCTTTTCAATTTTTTTATTTTTTTTGTTTCTCTTACCATAACTACAAACTATCGTATTCATGTTCTTCAAAATATATTTTCCCATGCTAAATCTATTATAATTAATATTTAAACAATTGAAATGAATGATTTAAAACCTAAATTTAAAGATATTATCATATTTTCAACTTTAAAAATCAATAAAAAATAGTTTTCGAAAAAAAATTCAATGGAAAAAGAAAAAGAAAAAAAGGAGGGGTAAAAATGTTATGATCGGTACTTTTCTTCCTATTGTCCTTGAACGGAGTTGCTAGTAAGATAGCGATCATGTGGAAGTATGATCGCTATCTAACTAGCGATTTAACCGAAACAAGGTCGCTAGTTTCATACCGATCTCCCTATTTTCAATTTTTTTATTTTTTTTGTTTCTCTTACCATAACTACAAACTATCATATTCATGTTCTTCAAAATATATTTTCCCATGCTAAATCTATTATAATTAATATTTAAACAATTGAAATGAATGATTTAAAACCTAAATTTAAAGATATTCTCATATTTTCAACTTTAAAAATCAATAAAAAATAGTTTTGAAAAAAAATTCAGTGGAAAAAGAAAAAGAAAAAAAGGAGGGGTAAAAATGTTACGATCGGTACTTTCCTTCCTATTTTCTTTGAACGGAGTTGCTAGGAAGATATCGATCATGTCGAAGTACGATCGCTATCTAACTAGCGATTTAGCCGAAACAAAGTCGCTAATTTCATACCGATCTCCCTCTTTTCAATTTTTTTATTTTTTTTGTTTCTCTTACCATAACTACAAACTATCATTTTCATGTTCTTCAAAATATATTTTCCCATGCTAAATCTATTATAATTAATATTTAAACAATTGAAATGAATGATTTAAAACCTAAATTTAAAGATATTCTCATATTTTCAACTTTAAAAATCAATAAAAAATAGTTTTCGAAAAAAAATTCAGTGGAAAAAGAAAAAGAAAAAAAGGAGGGGTAAAAATGTTACGATCGGTACTTTCCTTCCTATTGTCCCAGAACGGAGTTGCTAGTAAGCTAGCGATTATATAGAAGTACGATCGCTAGCTAACTAGCAATTTAACTGAAAAAAAGTCGCTAATTTCATACCAATGCCCCTCTTTTCAATTTTTTTATTTTTTTTTATTTCTCTTACCATAACTACAAACTATCGTATTCATGTTCTTCAAAATATATTTTCCCATGCTAAATCTATTATAATTAATATTTAAACAATTGAAATGAATGATTTAAAACCTAAATTTAAAGATATTCTCATATTTTCAACTTTAAAAATCAATAAAAAATAGTTTTAGGAAAAAAAATTCAATGAAAAAAGAAAAAGAAAAAAAGGAGGGGTAAAAATGCTACGATCGGTACTTTTCTTCCTATTGTCTTTGAAGGGAGTTGCTAGTAAGCTAGCGATCATATAGAAGGACGATCGCTAGCTAACTAGCAATTTAACTGAAACAAAGTCGCTAATTTCATACCAATCCCCTTTTTTCAATTTTTTTATTTTTATTTATTTCTCTTACCATAACTACAACTATCATATTCATGTTCTTCAAAATATATTTTCCCATGCTAAATCTATTATAACTACAGTGTTTTGGTGGAGTTTTTTCAATGCCCTCACAGATTGGCTTTTAACATTGGCATTGTTTATGACTACGCGCACACATTGTCAATTGCCTTAACAGATTGAAAACTGACTTTGAGAATGCAGGATATCATATTGTCAAAATTGTGTTGTAAATTTCAAATGTAGTAATACGAGTTGCTCTATACATAGAGCACTCGACTGCAATCAAAAGATACATAAAAATATAAAAGAAGAGAACGAGAGAAAAGATCAGTAACATCATCTATTCTTCTGCCTTTTATATGTTATCCTCTTGTGCTATAGTTTTAGTGTGACATTTTACATCTGCCTCGCACCTACCATTAAAAAGGTTACCTCTCTAACTTTGATCTATTTATAACAATACATAAATTTTTGGTGGGGGTTTGAAATTTTCATTGATTTCCAAGGCAGCTGCGTGCGTGTCACACGCATGGAGCCTCAGCCACTCGACCCGACCCGACTCCGCCTCCGGAGTTCTCGGAACACAATATTTACCTCTTTACATTTCTCCAACGACTAACGGCAACCATTTTTCAGTTTCTCCCTTCTTTCTTCCTCTTCCCACTTTGACTCTTCCAGGTATCTCTGTCTCTGTCTCTCTCTCTCTGTTTGGATGCCGAGAAAATCCCAATTCTCCACTTTCTCCTTCAATTGGATTGAAATTTGTTAACTTTTTGTTAAATTCGTTAGCTTGTAAGTTGTAACTTTGTGGTTCAATTTGTGAAGGGCATTTATGGAAATGGAAATTGATGATCTTCTGGGTCGCAACCGGCCGGTGAGTATTCCGACGAAGAGTGCGATTTACGTGTGGGGTTACAACCAGTCCGGGCAGACGGGTCGGAACGGGAAGGAGGTGCAGTTGAGGATTCCGAAACAGCTATCGCCGGAGCTTTTTGGATGCACGGCTGGGGCTCATTCGCGGTGGCTGGACATTGCTTGCGGCCGCGAGCACACCGCCGCTGTTGCCTCCGATGGGTCGCTTTTCACTTGGGGTAATTAAGCTTTCATCTTTTTGTTTTATTGTCTTAATTTAAAAAAAAAAAAAGAATTTCCATTTTTGAATTGTTTGATATGGTTTTTGGTGGATTAGCTCAGATGGTTTTTTTATTTTTTATTTTTTTTTATCTGGGGTACGATTCATCTGTACGGTTTTGTGATAATAATCTTTCCATTTATGAGTTCAATCATTTGCTTTGTGGGAAAGGACGATTTCCCGTCTTAAATCGCCATCTTTTGGTTTGGAAAATGGTTGGTTACAATGATGGGGACTAGCCATTTGTTTGCGGTAGCTGATAGAGTAAATATGTATTGTATTTGGTTTTTGTGCACTTTGGATAACCTGGATGTGTAAGCAATTGACCAGGAGCTAATGACTTCGGCCAATTGGGAGATGGAACGGAGGAGCGAAGAAAAAATCCGAAGAAAGTGAAGCAATTACAGACAGAGTTTGTGAAATCTGTGTCTTGTGGAGCACATTGTACCGCTGCTATTGCAGAACCTCGTGAAAATGATGGAACCGTCTCAACAAGAAGGCTTTGGGTGTGGGGGCAAAATCAGGTCCTACTATGAATTTCTTTAGCTTCATTCCTTCTTTCATTCCCTTCTGGTAGATATAATAATTTGTTTACCTTTTCCCCTACTTCTCATACAGGGATCGAATTCTCCACGTTTGTTTTGGGGAGCCTTTACTCCAAACACGGTATGCTACACTTCCTATTCATTATGCTTTTCTTTTTAGGTTGGAATTGTTCGGTATTAGAACTACTATTTTGTTTGGATAGTCGATTTACAAATGACTTGGTATGAGCTCATCAACTTTCAGTTGTGGCTAAAATCATTTTCTTTTATCAGGTAAATTAGTTCTATTAAGAAAAAGTTGGGGCGGTAATTTTAATAAACTTGATTTTTGTCATTACCTGGGTTGGTTCATGAACAACTACTAGGGTTTTCTGTCACTGCTGGCAATGCATTTAAAAGTGAGAACTAGTCTTAGATCACAACTCTAAAACCTGCAAGAAGATAGATACGAATACCTGTCGTATCGAATGCTTAACTAAAGGAACACTATATAATGGAATCGGAATTCTTTTACTAGAGTAGAGTGGATGGTTATCAAATTTAATACCTTCTACTTACTAAAAAGTCTTTCACAGATTATCCGTCAAGTGTCTTGTGGGGCAGTTCATGTGATCGCTTTATCAGAGGATGGCCTGCTACAAGCGTGGGGTAAATGCATATTCCACTTCTTAGTTTCTGATAATGTCGTACTTTCTTTTTAAAGCAGCTTCAAGGTACTTATGCTAGAGCTGAATCTTATTCTAGCAAAATTTTGCTAGAGTTACATGCCCCTTAGAAACTGAAAGAAACCTTAAATTCATCTTCTCCCACCTCTAATTTGTCAAACTTTAATACTGTGATGATACACCAGGATATAATGAGTATGGTCAGCTTGGCAGAGGATTTACATGTGACGGATTACAGGGGGCTCGTATAATAAATGCATATGCAAAGTTCCTAGATGAAGCCCCTGAGCTTGTGAAGATTACCCAAGTGTCATGCGGGGAGTACCACTCGGCAGCTATATCTGAAAAAGGCGAGGTGTAAGTGATCTGAGGAATTCTTAGATGGAGATTAGGTTCTATAGTTAAGCTTAAGTATTGTGGTTATCCGCATGGCACATTTAACTCAGAAGGTTTGCGAAAATCTTCGTATAGGAATCTCACATTTGAAAGGAGACAGGATGCCTAGAATACTGGATTACATTTATATTTGTGTTTTAATCTGTGATTTGAGTTGTGTCTTCAGAATTTTTTTTACCTCAGTTGTTTTACTAACCAAGGTTCTAGATAAAGAGGTTACTCTGATATTTATACATGTTATGAACTGATATTTCAATTATACTCATATACTCTTTATCTGTTATGTAGTCTTCCCATCGAGTAAGTTGTATTCTGTTCATTTGTTTGTTTATCTTTGGTTTCTTTGCGGAATTCTTCTTCACAATAATTTTATTTGGCCCTCGTAGGTATACTTGGGGGTTAGGAAACATGGGTCAACTTGGGCATTCTTCCCTTCAATCTGGGGAGAAAGAGTTATTGCCTAGGCGAGTGGTTGCACTTGATGGAATAGTCATAAAGGATGTTGCATGCGGTGGCGTACATACATGTGCTGTGACTCAGAAGGGAGCTCTTTATGCTTGGGGTGGTGGTCGAGCAGGGCAGTTAGGCCTTGGCCCTGAAACGGGATTATTTTCATGCAACCCTAATGAATCTCAGTCTTTTTTCCGTAACATTCCTGCATTGGTTGTTCCAACTAATGTGCAACTCATTGCGTGTGGACACTCCCACACACTTATCTCTACAAGGGATGGAAGAATTCATGGATGGGGCTACAATAGCTATGGTCAGGCATCTAACGAGAAATCAACTTATGCTTGGTATCCATCCCCGGTTGATTGGTACGGTAAAGATAAATTGTTCATGATCAGGTTCTTCGTGGCTTTCTTGATTGGTACATTGATTGAAGTTTGCATCACACAGGTGCGTTGGGGAAGTGCGAAAACTTGCAGCTGGTGGTGGCCATTCAGCCGTGTTGACTGATGCATGTTCCTTGAAGGAATTGTGTGAATTTAGGCTTGCAGATAGTGTTAATCTAAAGAATGCTTCTACAATTGAAGACATTGCGTCTAGAACAGGCTCAGATGCTTTAGCACGGCTTTGTGAAAGACTAAGGTATGGATTTCTTTTCATGGCTGGTCCGATTGTCAGCAAATTTAACCTTCTTCCATGATCTGATTCCACAATTATATATTGAATTATTGATCGTTTATCTGCCTTGGTAAAAATAGGATAAAATATTTTAGAACTCTGTTTGAATCGCATTGAAAATGTCAAGAAATAATGGTAAATTTGTTAAAATTAGAATTACAGGGACAAGATTGGAATCAGTATTAGACTATAGTAACAAAAAGTGTAATTCTGCTTCTTTTTTTATGGAGTTATTTTAATAAAAGGGAAGAGTGGAGAGAGGTCAGAACATATGTCGTACAGTCAATAGGAAATAGAAACACAGGAACTGAAACTACCTTGTAAGAGTTCTCTAGTTCATAGAGGCGTGCGTCTCCTCCTTAGACCGTTCTATTTGTTGATCACATAATATTCCATTAACTCGTAATGCACTTGGAGCTTTGCACCATTGGTTTGAAATGCTTCTTTTCTCATGTTCTTTATTTTTTTCTTTGATGAAGATGCCAATATATTCGTTTCTTTTTTCTGCAGGCAGCATGTCCTCGAGGGTGGCGACTGTGAATATGAAGAAAATTAGGCCAGCGGTTATAGCAAGTGAAGAAACAATTGGATTAGATTTAATACTGACATCCATTATGTCAATTTGTGTCAATGTAATCACTTTATTTCCAATCTGGTTATGAATTAGGTATTCGGAGTTGCCGTTATCAGATTGTGAAGGGGTTAAACCCTTTGAATTTATGTCAAACTGCTATAATTTGTAACCAAAACTAAGAAGTACGGAGTTAGTTGCGTCAAGAACCATCATATTGAGATGTTGAACTTGTTTACGTAACCATTCGCTATTAGTTGTATAAAAAACATGAAATAGACTTGATTATCGACCAAGATTTCTCACTATTAGCTACTAAATAATCTTATGTTCAAGCTGGAAATTACGTTTTAACTTATGTCTGTATCGACATCAACGACATGCCAATAATATGGCACATACTGATTGTCAGGTTTTCGATGTGGGATTTTACATACTTGTGTCGTATGTGAACCTCAAAATTCCTTTCAAGATGATTAGAATAGTACAGGACTGAAGAAACATTGTTTTTCTTATTCTTTAATTATAATAACAAAAAACACATTAACAGTAGATGTAAATTAAATGTTGATTAGTGATATGCATCTTGGAACATTTCCACAACCCAAAACATTTTATTTGACTAGTAGGCACGGCAAAGCTTATATTTCATCCAAATGGCGAAGCATCCACAGTGGCATGTGTGTGTTTTTAGCAGCAGGCGGCCGAGGTCTTCCCTCGTAATCACCGTCATCCGTTGCTCCTCTTGCCTGGAATCCCCCACTGCATGATTTTCTATGTTGATATAATTAGCTTTTCCATGCAACCCAGATGTCATTCCACTTCTAAAACTTTTTATAGTTATAAGAAGGTTTTTTAGTCAAAATGGTCTTTAAGATTGATATAATTTCTCACTTTATTTATTGAGATTGAAAATCGATAAAACCCTAAGTTTGTCCACCGTCAATCATTTTGGTTATTCCTTGAAATCTTCGTTAAATTGAGGGTATTTTTGTTCAATCAAACCCTCCAATTACTTTTCCATTTAACGAAGATTTTTCAAAGAAGAACCAAATAATTAACAGTGGATAAATTCATGGACCACTTTTATCAATTTTCAAAGGGACCAAGGAGAGAAGTTATGCTAATCTCAAAGACCATTTTGGCTAAAAAGCCTTCTAAGAATACTAATTAATTATGCATGAGCATATGATCTTATGGAAACATTGCTGGAGAGAGAGAGGGAGACCTGGTGCTTCGAGAAGTAGGTAGTGATGGTGTTGATGGGCGTTGGGGTGGCGGCATTAGCATGAGGGTGGATGAGTTGTGGCGGCCTTGGTTAGTTTGCTGCTGCCGCCCTACTACCTGCACCTGATCATGCTCTTCCTCAAGCATCTTTCCATTCTCCTTCACCTTAAATCAATTAATATTTGCTGTTAATCCAAGATTTAATTTTATTATTATTCTAAGAAAATATTTCTCATAAATAAACATATAAGAGCGCTTTTGAAATTTTTAATACCTGCTTTGCCAGCGAGTTGTTTAGTTCCCGTAGTGCCTTTTGCTGTTACAAGTCAAAGTGTGAGATGTACGACACATGCATGCATAAACAACAGTTTCATTCATCTTGAATATGATGCTAATCCAACTAAACAAACCTAAAATATGATGCTAAAACCCACCTGAATGAAGGTATATACGTAATTAAGGTTACAATTAAGCTAATCAACCAGAAACATACAGATTAATGTCCACACAGATGCATGAGGTATAACTTTATACCTTCTTGTGCATCTCTGAAATGGATTCATGCATGAGTTGGTTCTGAAAATGCCAGAATTATATATGGAATTAGTATTAATTAAAAATCGTTTATTAATTAGTTGCCCAGAGGTAGCATACCTGTAAATTATACATGACAGATTTAATATTAATTGAGGTAACTTCATTACCTTTCTTGTTCGTATGCGCTTAAGAGCTGTATCAAGCTGTTGCTCCAAATTTTGAAGCTCTCTCAAGCTTAAGGGTTCTAAATCTTCTCCCGTAAAATTCCTAGATCGACGTTAAACACAACCCATGAACATTTTATCATAACATTTACAATAGCTTAAATAATTTACCTCAGCTTCCTTTGTATGACTTCAATCCTTGCCGCAAGTTTGGGGTATTCCACGGACCAGTTTTCCTATAAGAAGTATACAAGCTTTATTAACGCAATCTAAAATTCCGAAGTTATTGCAAGTAACCCTTTACCACGGTGGTAGAGAGGAGCGTTGCCCTTGCACCACGGTGTGGGTTCGAATTCGTCGGTTCTCTATTTTAACATCTAATCTAACAAATTTATTGTTTGACAAAACAAAAAATTCAGAAGTTATTACAAGGGATTTCAAATGCAAGAACATCTCCATTAGTATTAAAAAAATTGGTTAGGCGGCGGCTCACATTATTTCTTTGACAAGGTTCAAACCATGACAAGGTTTAAACGAGGCTACATTTTGCACCCTTGCTTTTGTACGGTTCTTGAATATTAAAGATTATCGTACTTATCTAAAAAACAATGAGGTGAATATATAATGAAACATATAGAAAACTATGGATTCTGCAGGATCTCAACATGAGGTGAATATGTATGAAACTTATAAATAATAGAAAACTATGGATTCTGCAGGATCTTTATTAATGGCTTAACCTAATCCAATCTTATTAGAAAGACAAGTTTAGCAATCAGTTAACAACCCTAAATCAATCTCTTGCCTATCAGTATTGCACTGAAGGAAACACACTCATATAAATCGGATACAGAACATGAAAGGAGAAAAATGCTCTCAATTTGTAACCAATTCTCAACTCTAAAAGCATATATACAAGAAAGAAACCTAACTGATGCAACTTGTCATCTTCTTCTACATATTAGTACTAGTACTAGCTCTAGGATGCATATATAAAATACCTGTGATTCAGAATTAGTTCCGTTTAGTTGCCGTTCTGCAAAGGTATATTGTTCGTATCGATCCAGAATCCTCTCCATGCTTCACAAAAATGAAATCTTTCAGAATGACAAGCCAATGAGAAGCTTATAAATATGAAATAAGCGCACATCATACATAATTGTCCAAGAATATGCATATCAGATTCATAAAAGTAGATGAATTGTTGAAAGGCCAAAATAAGCGCACATCATACATAATTGTCCAAGAATATGCATATCAGATTCATAAAAGTAGATGAATTGTTGAAAAGCCAAAAAGATCACCAAAGCACAAAACTTTTGTTATGTATAGCCTTGGATGCTTATCATCTGGAAATTAAGAAAGAACCCCTAACTTGAACAATCGGCGCATATATACATGCAACCTTCCATATTTTGGTCATATAAATATGCTCTAGACCTAATATGCTGGCAGAGAAAGAAATACGTAAGTTCCGTTTAGTTGTAGAGTTCTCCAACTATATGTGCAGCAACTTACGTATTTCTTTCTCTGCCAGCACCACTCACTATGAAAAACCGCAGATCCAGTTCAACATTTGCGGTTGTAATCTAGTGTAATGGCTTAGACTTCAGTAGTGATTACATTATAGTATTGTGCAAGTAATTAACAGTGTGTATTATTCCTAATACGAGAAATGGAAGAGTTCACCATGCCAAGCACGTGAACGTAAATGTTTGGTTTTTAATTGCAAACCCTACAACTTAATAAGCTAGGAATCACAAGGCATATATACATTAGGTTGTGAATCTTACAATAAATTTATTGCAACAGGAAATGACCCTAGAATGAACCATTCCACTTAGGAAAATATTAGGTAGACCACATTTTTGTACCACATTGGTAAACCATTTGATGTGGCAAGTGATGTGTACATGTCATGTCAATTAATGAATTTATGTTATTGGACGTTGGCTGTTTGCATTACTTGCTACATGAGATGATACACTAATGTGGTATAAAAATGTGGTCTCTCTAGCATTACTCTTTCGAGACTAAACATTTAAAATTTAAATATAAGATATAACTGTTGGCATATATTCAGCAAAAACATTTAAGTTTTCAAGAATAAAAATTTTATTCTTACTATCTATTTGTACCCATTCTCTAATAAAGATAGGACACATGCGTTGGCGGACCCTACCTCTATTGGTCAAAAAATCCCCGCCTAGGCATTAGGTGACTGACCACTGCGCATGCTTCGATTAATACCAAGGTGTTTGAAAATTAAGAAAGGGCGCCTATACCTGTTGAGGCGCCCGCCTAGCCCGCCTGAACGCCTAGGTACCCACCTATGTCGCGACTCACTTAGATAGAAAATAGATAACTTTATTTTGTATTTTATTTTTTTTCAATAACTTGTAAGAGACTTGTTGAATACTTAAATGAACACACATTATATGCTTGTTCCCCATGTTTTCATTATATGTCATTTTATTTTGTAGTTTATGATGTAATTATATATTTTTAAGTATAAGTAGACACTTATTTACACGAAATATAATATATTTACTTAAATTTGCCTAGGCCCCTCCTAGCCGCCTAGGCGTTAGGCCCAAATCCGCTGCCCGATTAGCGCCTAACGTCTTTTAAAACTTTGCCTCTATTAGAGAGATGGTACAAGTAGATAGTAAGTGTGGCACTACTCTTTTAAGAATAATGTGTAGTAGACCAATAAAAGTTGTCATATAGACATAATTCGCCCCTCCCGCTTAATTTCTCGTTATATATTTTGAACGTCGCCAATGAGAAGGAGAAGTAGCTGTATACGTTAGAAAAATATATTAGAGCATAATGTAATTGTTGACTCATGAGCTCACATCTTAATTGAACTGAAGTTAAGGAACAGAAGTTCAACTCATAGATTCTAACATACTTAGCTTGACGGTTTTAGGTAAAACTCTTGAGTCCTATCTTGGTTAAACATTAAGGCGAATGGGTGGCTACAGCTCCTTAGCTTGCAGAAACCCTATACTCAGGAGATAAAATTGTAAGGTTGGAGGCCGAATAAATACAAGTGTAGAAAAGATATCAACTTGTTGGGATCCAAAAGGCCAATATTTTGAAGAAAAAGTTATTATAAGTGTTTTTGGATTGTAAAAACGCTTGAAATGTTTTTTTGTTGCTTACTTTCATGTTCTTTTTCAGAGTGCCTCTAATACAAAATACTTTTTGCAAAAATGCTTACAAGTAAAAGTGATTTCGAGAGAAGTATTTCTAAACGGGCCAGTAAACCTCAACTTTATGAGTAATGCTTTCTTGTCATCAAGTTTAGCTTGTTATATTGTTGCATGCAAGTGAAATCCTTTTTGCTGTGTTTCAATGAGGGATTTCCCAGTACTAATGAGTTTAGTCTAAATTAGTTAGAAACACACAACGAAACATTAGATAGAGGGATTGAAAATCCACTAATTAAAGTCACTAAACAATGGTTTCAAATAACTCATTTTAAGTAGTAGTTTCAAATCCCTTGGTACTAATTAACAAATTCCAGTAAGTGCATTACATAGTCTTCCTAATCCATATATCTTATATTTTTTTAGTACATTTCTTGCCAATATAGCCTAAATCCCTTAGTACTTGGTAATCACTCGCTCGTCCAAACACAACATAAATGTTGGGAAAATGCAAAATTTATACTTGATGATTATATAACATTACTCATGAAATTGAGTAACTTATTTCCTTAAAACCTATTTAGTAACTTTTTAATTTTGATTTTAGTTTTCGTTGTTTTGAAACACCAAAAATATATACGGAAATAAAGGGTAAAGGAGGATGGAATGAGAATGAAGAAATGAAGGATAATAAATGAAACAAAACTTTAAAGTAGTGTTAGTTTTTAATTAGTTTTCATCTTATATAGTATTCTTCAAACATTTCTACCACCTCCCTTCTACCACTTTTCCCCACCATTCTTTACCACTATTTTCTTTTGTATACCTCCTCTCAATCTTAAACAAAAAGAGAAATTTAAAACCAAGAAGGAAAATGTTACACAACAGGCCCTTAGATTCACATAATCTCATAGATATAAGTTTCCTAATAATATCCACACTTACATTCTATTATGTTCAATGGTATCATGCATTTTATAAAACTAATCTAAAATGAAAAGAAAGAGATTTTTTTTTTTTTTATACAATGAAATATTTCCATTAAGGTGTGGGAGGAATAAATTGATATCAAATTTGTCATTCACGAGATTCGATTTTGAGACTTCTCACTAATAAGTAAACGCTAGACCGTAGTACTAATTAAGTGGTGAAAGAAAAGAAGTAGTTAATAATATGAATTTTGAAATGAGCAAATATTCATTTATGAAATCTATTAGGTAATTTCAGGCTAGTTTAAAATGTCTTCCAAAATTTTGAAAGTTCTCATCCTCCGTTGTACTAATTAACTTGGATTCTGCTTAATTACAGATGTCCCTAATTCTTGTTGTCTGTCTAAATAGTTAATCACATCAAAATGAAAAATCCTTTTGGGAATCATAATTTTTGTATCACAAGTGATTGATATTCTACTCTAATTTACTTTAAAGATGAGACTGAGAGAGTTTAAACCCGAAATGCAATGAGTTCGATTTGAAAACTCTAACTACCAAGGCAACTCACTATTAACCTTTGCAGAATCAAATATAGTAACGAACCAACATACTTTTTCCTCTCTTTTCCTTATGCAACTTTTCCACAACTTACTGTACTATGATTGGAGGAGTGCTTTCTCCTAAGTCCTGGGTGCACAACCAGCATTATATGGGATATGCTACATTTACAAGATGCTCAAACATATATCCTAGGTAACGCAACCTAGGAAAACACCACCCCGATCATGACACATTGCTCAATAACCCTCACCCGGGTCCAACACCTGTAAACAAATTATTATAAAAGATAACTACTAATTTGAAAAGTACAAGCAAGAGCATATCCCCCTTGGTACTGCGCTTTCTTTTGGTTCTACATGAGAGACAACCGTTTACTCAGACAGTACTCAGTAGTGGTGGTATATATTGCCTTGTAACCAGTGTCTTATATAATCTTCGTACATAAAAACCACTGGATTACAGAAATGGATTAAATGTCTCTTTTATATACATAGATATTCATATAAAATTAGCACTTAAAAGTTAATTAATTAATTCATTCTCCTGATTTGACCAGTAAGTACTTATTCTGACAATATATTTTATTTTAGATTTTTACTATTATTAAGGACCGAGGAGAGTGAAACCTATTACAATAATTTAAGAGAGTGAAGAGTTTTGAATTTGAGATGTATAGGTAAAAATCTAAAACTCCATCTATTTATTCTGACAATAATCTAATTAGAAAAGAGCAAAACAAACTAAAGATAAAACAAATCAAAAAACAAGAAGTTTTGTATGCTAGTGATTTCTAGCTAGTAAGTCAAAGAGAGAACATTTATAAAAAAAAAAAAATCTGAAGTACTAATTATTTTTGCTCATAACTTTGTCATGTATATATGTAGACCCCTTAGATATGGTACCAAAAAATAGATAAAAAGGGCCGATCCAGAACAAACTAGAGGGAGAGAGAGCTTAAGTGTATACGTTGTTTAATTAAGTTTAGCTTTGTTTTAGTATTCAAGATTTCTGGAGTAACACAAGCAAAAAACACCAACAGGAAACAGGAAAAAATATACATACATATATATATATATATATATATATATATATATACCCAGATAAATATATGAGCTTAAAAAAGCTTAAGTAAACGTAAAGACCTGGAATCAGTAGAATACTCAAAGAGCTTCCCTTTGGTGGAGAAGACAATAAGTGCCACATCAGCATCACACAGAACCGAGATCTCATGAGCTTTTTTGAGCAATCCCGTCCTCCTCTTTGAGAATGTTACTTGCCTGCTTATCGTGTTCTCGATTCGCTTCAGCTGAACCTTACCTCTTCCCATTTTTTTTCCTTTTTAATTTCCCTCTTTTTTTTTTTCCTTATATATTGCTAAATATAGAAAGGAGGGAGAAGAAGAAGTAACACTTGCTTTTTTAGTGCTTATAAACCCAAGAGATTGAAAATATACCCAATTTGAGAGAAAACCCTAATTTGGTTCATACAAGAAAGGAAAGGAAGCAGCTGGATGATGATAAAAAGCAAAAGCATGATAAGGAAGAAAGAAGGGGTTTTTTTTTGTAGTGTCTTTCTATTTTTGTATTGGGGAGTGTTCTGGTTTAGTTCTGTGGAAGCAAAGGCGCTGTGCATAAATATGGAGAGAGAGAGAGAGAGAGAGAGAGAGAGAGAGAGAGAATGGTGGTTTTGGCAAAACTGGTGGTATTGGGGTAATGCGTTGTCGAATTGGTAGTGGTCCAAAAGGCCAATTCAGCTGCAGGTGTCTCAATTTAGTCACAGGACTGCAGACAGTCCGTACAAATATCATGTCAGGTTAAGCTCTGCGGGACCAAACGGAAGGCATCATAGGAGCATGGTATGCATTTGCCGTTGCTGACGGCACTTCTCAGCTTTATTAATTATTCCAACAAAAGATTAATTAAGTATGAATTATAACATTATATTTCTAACCATCCAAATTTATGTGGCCTATCTCTCGATGAAAACAATATACTGATGGAATGTTAATTTCGTATTGCCCTCCTAAACACTTCGTGCTTTTCCACTTTCGTCCTTCAACTTAATTTCCTCTCCAAGTTTGTCCTTTATGTGTGAAAGTGTATTTATTAACAAAAAAGTTACATTCAATAAAAGAAATTAATGAAACAGCATGTGACCACTTTTTAAAGGGATTTCGATAACTCATTTTGTTAACAAAAAGCGAATTCGATAACTCATCTATATGTCTAGGACGCCCTTTCATTTGGTGCCACTTGGCATGCAACCATTTTTCTTTAGGAGTACTATAGGCCTTTGTTCTTAAAAAAAAAAAAAAAGAATGAAAGCACCAAACCCAAATTGATCAGTTTAATTTGGAGCTTTTTTTTTAATCACTACTAAAACTAAATGAACAAAAAAAATTGTTTGTACTTTAAAAAAATCAGTTGTGTAGTAGAATAACTGAATAATATGTTTTAATTATTATCCTTTTGTTACATATGCTCTCAATAGGAGTGTTTTTAGTGTTATATTGGTTAATAGAAAACTTTATATCAACTTATTCGGTGTCGATGTAAATATTTTTCGACCTAACATAGTTGACCCTATGGTATGTTTAAACAAACAAAAAATTAACCGAATCGAATTGCGCTTCAGCTTTTGTAAATGAAGTCATTTTTGTCTCATTTAATACATATCTTTAAAACTTTAAAGACATGTTTGAGAACAGAAGTGGAACAACCACCAGAAATAGGGGGAAGTTCGTAATTACTCAAAATTATATTTAATATAATTGGTAGATTCACGTTGTACTAAATTTGTAACACTGATAGTGTTGTCACATTGAACAAGATTATTTTTTTTTTCTCTATGCACAGCACCAATTTGTATCGAATCAAATCATGATAGGTTAACCAGCCAGCTCCACCAAGTTTTATTTATGTGGAATATAAAAATCTCTACCATTTTTAGTATATTAAGAACGGCTTTTTAGCCAACATGATCCATGAGATCGGCATAACTCCTCAATTTGGTCCCTGAGATTTAAAATTGATAGAAGTGGTCCCTATGTTTGTCCACCATCAATCATTTTGGTTATTCTGTGAAAAATCTCTATTAAATAAGACCAAAATGACAAAATACCCTCAAATTTTGTCAAATCATTTTGGCTCATTATTTATTAAATGGAGGGTATTTTTGTCAGTTTAGTCCTTAATTATTTAATAGAGATTTTTCACGGAAGGTCCAAAATGATTGATGGTGGACAAACTCATTGATTACTTCTATTGATTTCAAATCTTAAGGACCAAAATGAGGAGTTGTGTCAATTTTAGAAACTATTTTGGCTGAAATGTCATTAAAAATAGATATCAATTTTATAGCTTTCTTAACACACATGAGACAGGTTAGAGAAGAAAAGCTCCTAATTGTTAACCTATACCCAAAAGTCAAACTGCACACTAGATCAACATTTAGCAATTCAGTTTTATACCATTAAAGGAAAATTAGTAGACTAAGATTGAACTTCTTCTTTTAACATTATCCAGTCAGATCAACATCACCAGCAGTTGAATTTCATACGCGAAAAATATATGACGAAGATAAAGAGTATCTTCATGGGAAAGAGGAGTGAAACACAAGCATCTTCAACTTAAATTTAGACGTGTATACACATGGATTTAGTCAAGTTGGTTAGAGTAATGTGCTTACTCTTCGTATCCAAGTTCGAATTCTCATCTAAAAACTTTAGATGACTTTAATTTAATTATTTAATCGGTAACAAAATAAAAATAAAAACTTGAATTTTACTTGTTTTTTTTTTTTTTTTAAACAAAAAAGGATTAAAAGATTTTTCTATCCATTTCACTCTTTTAATCTCAAGTAGTAGCTTGTCGCGTTTGCCGTTGAATCCGATGTCCCACACTTCTTTGGAATCCTTATGCGTAATTTAATGTATATTATCCTATCACTTGTCAAAAAAACCCTTTTAATCTTTTGTCTCAAACTTAAATGATTGATTGCTTTTGTTTTTCTTTTCCGAAAAGATTTTATTTAACTTTATAAAAAGCAGAAAATATAAGATACGAACTGATGATAATTTGTGACGCCTATCTAGCACCAGGGTGCTCATCTAGTATGGCAGCTTCCAGGCCGCACCCACACCGTTAAAGGGAAATGGGAAGAGTTTTCTTTTACATAAACAATTGCATGCTTATTTATCTGAAATGTTGATTATTTTGATTTATGATTTTTGTTTGTTTACTAAAACATACGAAATAAAACATTATGCAATTAGGTTTCATATTATAATTTGTAATTCAATACCTGAAGAAACAAGATGCATTAGAAGGTAGTTGATCTCATACTCATTTATTTTCTCCTACGTTATTAACGTTCTTGTTCATGACTTCCCTTATCCATAATAACCACATAGGAAAGTAGCTGCAATAATGCCACGTTAAATTATATCGGCATATATATTTTTAATTTCTTTACTAGATTTATGCACAATAAATCTAGAAAATAAATATGTACATCCAAGGATGGAATCTTAGGTCGAGCTCTTTGAGCACTGCATATATTCAATCACCTAAATATCAATAACTATAAAATGTTGTTCATATTATTAACAATACATTTATTTTAATTACATAATTATCAATATCGGGTTGATAGGTTTGTTTAAGAAAATTTGCGTAAAAAAAAAAAAAAAAAATTTGATGTAACATCATCGTATTAGACACAATGTCCCAAGTTTTTCTAATTACAACATAAGCGTCAAAATCATTTTTTTTTAATGTTGAAAACTGCGGATTAGTTGTTAGTCAAACTCAATCAATTGAAAAGGCAATTATGAGGAAACTGTAGAACGTGGGTGCTGCCCCAACTATATTTGGGAAAGTAGTTTGGTAAGTATATATATTTTTAGTTAAATTATAAAACAACTATATTTGGGAAAGTAGTTTGGTGACTATATATTTGCCAAGACAAAACGGAGGGATCATTATTTCTCTTTTCTAATTGTTACCTGCTGCTGCTGGGTTAGTCCCTCATGTCAAATTAATTAAAAAAAAATTTTAACAAAACACTTTTGGTATTGTTCACTTTTTGTTTGTAAGATGGCTTCTTGTGTTTGTATTTGCCTTTTGGTCTTTTGTAAAAAGAACTTTCATGCACTCTTCGGATTTGGTCTCTTCTTTCGTTTGGGAAGTCATGCGCCACAATAATGTTTCCAACCCATATGTAGAAATGAATACTTGTGTCTCGTGTGTTCCCTCATCGGAAGGATCTCCTAGAATTGATTTTTTTTTTTTTGAGTAATTAATTTGTTTACTTTTATGTTCCCTTTTGTGGTGGTTTGTGGCCGCAGTTGGCCACTAACTTCTTCACGCATCATGTTGACCTTGTTCATTAATTTTATATTGGGTTAACCTCACTTTACACCACAAAGTTTGAGGATCATTTGTAAAATGAGCCACGAGATTTTAATTTTCGCATATTACATTACATGATTTTTGAATTGCATCAATTTAACGTTTTTGTTAATTTTACCATCTAATTAGACATTATGTGCTCATGTAGCATAGACTGGACCCACATTTGAATCATATGTTGACCGTCAATTTCATAAAATTATTAAAAGAGTGAAGTACTAAACAATGAAATTGCAATCAACGTTGCTTTAAATGTCAACATAATCTATGTCACGCAGCACTAAATGTTTAACTAGACGGTGAAACCTTGAAACTAATGAAAAGGTTAAATTAGTGCAATTCAAAAATTACGTGGTATAACATGTAGCTAAGTTAATTCTTTTTTTATTTTTTATTAAAGAGACGAGATATTGACAATTCATATTTTTAAGGAAATATAAAAAAAAATACTTTAAAATGATAGTAAAGCATGATTTTCATTTTGTGGTCTAGGCTTAGGATAAGTAATGAGAGTTTTCGTTGGTTTCAAAACTCAGACGGAATCTAGATTAGGTTCAATATCTATTTTTTCCGAGTGTTGTTTTCGGTCTCAGTGTCACGAGATGGTTTGAGAGAAAAAAAGAAAATAGGCGTGCGACTGTAGGAGGCTACCAACAAACATTGTTTGTGTTTGACTGTGTGTGAAGTTGCACGTTAATCTGACTTCTTAACCAAATGATTGTGCAAAGAGTGGGACGCTGGTTTAGTTAAGTTCTTTTATGTGCCTCAAGTGAATGAGGACTTAAGGTTCGGTATAGTTTCGTGTATGCTTGCCTAAAAAAGTAAATAAAAGCGAAATAGAAACTAAAACGAGAAACAGAATGTAATCATTTCATGATGGAGTCAATTACAAAACGTTCACAAAAGTAAAATCTAGGCAGATGAGTCGAGCTACATGACTTGACTGGAAATATAAAGAAAGCAGAAAAAAATCTAGCAAGATTTAGGCTCTGAAGAGCAAGATAATGCTTGAGGAGTCCAACGATATCACTGGTGTCAGGTTGGATTTAGTACAAGGCACCTCAGAGAGAAAATCAGGGTGGTTGAATTTGCACATCAAGAAAATCATACCATAGAGTGGCAACGCGAACAAGTTTTAGATCTTAGGGATCATAGACAGTGTTTGCTTCGAAGGAAGCCCTTGGGATTGTAGCTGAAAAG